GGGGTGGGATGGGTGGGATATTGGGCGCACTTAATTTGGAGCCTCGCTCTGTTGTGCGACCCTCACCACACTCTGGTGAAAGTGATTAAATAAATCCTAGTTTTCTCACTTTTTAAAAATTTTTAAACAAAGGGGCTCTTGTCTCATAGATTGCTGAATTCCTTAAGTCCTGTGTTAGATAGTGTTAGATGAGTGCCACAAGGCCAAAAACTTGGTACCAACTGGCTCCTCAAAGCCAACCAAAACTGGATTAGCTGTCTTGGCACTTCAGAGCAAACTTCCTAAAGCCAGGGTAATCTACTGTAGTGCAACAGGTGTGTTAATATATACAGTGTCATGTAATGTTTGTAACAGGTTGTAAAGGATTCATGACCAGTATTGTCGTGGTGATATGTTTGTGACAGTGATGACTATTAGGTGATTGGTTAGGTCAGTGCCTGTGAAATTCCATAGGGGCTGATGAATTTAATCTGGGTGTGAATCTGTTTGCAACAGATTGAGCACTTTTTGGTGGCTGGGTCATCTGGGAAGGAAGCTAGCAGTTCTCACTTTCTGTGCTGTATGTCAGCTGTGGGTGTATAACTCTGTTCAGTTGACTTACCTCCTCTACTGGGAAGGAAGAGCCACGTCCTTAGGATGGTCTTGAGACTGTCTTTGAGGTGGAACGGGGGTCATCAAGCATGTTACTTGCCTGTTTCACCATGTATATGTTGTAGTTCAATTTTATACTTGGTTCAAAAATTTATTTTCCTTTGTTCTCAGTCATGTTAATGTATGATAATGAGTTTGAAACAAAGGAAAATAAAATTTGAACCAAGGATAAAATTGAACGAGAACCTATATACCAAACCCCACATAGCAAGCTTTAAAATATTATGAGCAAGAAGTGCAATGGATGTGATTCAAGGTTTAAGCACTGTACTTTGCTTCTGATCTACTTGTTCATGTCTTCAGGTGCTTCTGAACCTAAGAACATGGCATATATGTCACGCCTCGGAATATGGGGACCAGGAACACCTTTCAGAGAATTCAATGACTTCATTCAAGCTGTGGAAAGAAGGTATGCAAAATTAATGCTGTGTTGAGGTTGAATTACGAAAAGGTTAAAATTTCTGGACACACTCACCTTTGCTGGCTACATATTAAAGAATTGTAGTCCATTTGATTGAAGTCAACAATGATTTACTAAATAATTGAATATATCAACAAAGTTGAAATGGTAAATTGGCCACCGTTACGGTTATAAAAGCTGACGTTTCGAGCGTTAGCCCTTCGAGCGTTAGCCCTTCATCGTTTCAAGCGTTAGCCCTTCGCTCCTACTAAGGGCTAACGCTCGAAACGTCAGCTTTTATAACCGTAACAGTGGCCAATTCACCATTTCAACTTTGTTGATATATTCAAATTATTTCATTACCCCCACCGACGCAGCCCCAAACAGTTTCTTTAGAAACTATCAGCCTTTATTCATTTGTAATGATTTACTAAGTGTAACTGTTTTAAATTTTCGCCACTATCAAGAACAATTTTTCATCAAAACTGACCAAATGCACAAAGTTTAAAGAAATCAAGAAGAGCTTACTGACTTTTAGCCTAATTTTGGATAATTAAGTCTTGAATTATTGTTTTTTGTTTTTAGTATTATAATATCATTAAATGGAAGTCATTGCTAATTGATTCTGTTCTGCATTGTGTTGTAATGACTGCATTTTTTTTTCTTCAGAGGAGTTGGTGCAATGGAGATTGTAGCTATGGAAATGAAGGTGATTTGTGGAGTTTTATGTAAATGAGACTTGCCATTGTGAAAATACATTTTTAATTCAATGAAAATGAAGCTCAGAGAGATTGATCCTCTTAATAACAATTTTCAGAGTTGCTTAGAAGCCTTAACCATTTCACTCCCAAGATATCTTTAGTAATTTTCCTTCCTGTCTGCCATACGAGTCTTATGAAAAAGGGCTAATGCTCGAAAGGTGAGCTTTTAACTCTTTACGGTGGTCAATTTTCAATTTCAACTAAGTTGATAAAACCAAATTATCCTATGATGTTAGTTTGGAGAATTCGGTATTGGGTCAACTAAGAATCCCTTATTTGATATATTTCTTTATTCCCATGCCCTGTCTGATTCATATTCTAGAGAACATCAAGCAGACAGGGATATCAAGCAGACATTCTACCTGTACAATGCTGTCTTCCTAAGACAGCATTGTACAGGTAATCTAACTTACCTTACATGTACCACTATACACAAGTACATTTGATTCCTATATTAGAGCTCTGTTCACTTGGTGTATATGGAGGGCTGACTGATAAATTGTATGAAACCATGAAATAAAGCATATTTGGTTGGTTCTGTGGCAGTGAAGGAAATTTTTTTTGCTTCATTTTTGTTGTTCTCAGCTCCGTGGCATGTACATGACACGCCAACTTAGCTTTGCTGGAGTAACCTTTGACATTAAAGAATTACCACTTGCCAGAGACTTCATTGAGATGTATGATGCATCAGTCAAACTTGTAAGTTATGGTTTATTTAATATTTAGTGCTTGTTTTATCTCTTTACTTGGTGGCCTTTGCTGTGGATTTTTACCCCTTATGATAATTGTAAGCTGTTGCGGTGTCCCTGCCTGTCGGCGAATCTAATAAATTAAATTAAATTAGTCTCATAGTATTTCCTTCATTGGTACAGTGTATTTCATAAAAATCCTGAATCCTGATGGCCACTTACATTTTTTGGAATTTACTCTTTTCTAACACAAAACTTGGCCAGTTATAGCCAATGTCTGAATTAAAACTCCACCCAACACTGCTCCTGTACTTTTAAAAGTAATATAGCCATATCTAAATCCAGCTGTTTAATTTGCTGCCTAAGTTGATTGAATTTGTTAGGGAAACTTTTGCATTTTGATATTTTGATAAATATACCTAGCATTACAAAAATAACCTGTTTTATTAAATGAAAACTATCTTGTGGTTTTCATAGTGGAGAGAAGCAAGAGAGAAGTTTGAAAAAGCAGCAGATCTCATGGAAGCTGATAGTAGAGTAAAGAAGACCATTTGGGGTCAGTTTTGGTCTGCTCATCAGGTAATTAACATTTAAAGCTCAACCTCGGTATGGTATTCTCCATACTGTTGTTTTTTCATTTCCAGTGGTACAGTCAGTGTGGAACCTTGATTTAATGAAGTGCCAAGGAACTGGAGAAATTGGTTTGTTATATCAAGGATAAAGGCTGATAGTTTCGAAAGAAACTGTTTGGGGCTGCGTCGGTGGGAGTAACGAAATAATTTGGATATATCAACAAAGTTGAAATGGTAAATTGGCCACCGTAACGATTACAAAAGCTGACCTTTCGAGCGTTAGGCCTTCGTCGGAGCCCTTGGCATCAAGGGTTTGTTATATCGAGGTTTTGTGGCATACATTTTACTGTAACTTTGGTCAGGCTGAAGCTGAAGTATCGTTTGTTATACCAAGGACTTCATTATAATTTTATAGAGGTTTGTTAATTCAAAGTTTCACTCCACTGACAGGAGAATTTGTTCATCAATTAACCCTTTCACTCCCAAGATCTCATTAGCAAATCTCCTTACTGTCTTCCATAGAATTGTTATGATGTTAGTTTGGAGAATTTGGCATTGGATAGACAGATAATCCCCCAGTTGATCTTTCTCTTTATTCTCATCGCTTGTCCACTTGATATTGTATTGATAATGTCAGAAAAAATGATGTCTTTGTCGCTCGTGGGGGTTGAGGGGTTAGGATTAAAAGCCTTTTGAAGCTGATGATCATATCCTTTATTCTCATCACCTAAATGCTTTATTCAGTGGTGATTTCTGTAAGGAGAACTTTCATGCTAGTCATTCTTTGGGAGTTCAAGGAAAAAGTGCTGAAATGTTTACTTAACCAGTTAACTAGTATGGGATATACAATTTAAAACCAAGTCATGGAAAGTGTAAAGCATGCACTTTTGGTTCTTGTCAGTGATAGATTGAATATTTAATATCTAATGTTAAGCAATAAATATTATCAATATTTAAAGAACACCTTCCTGAGTGCAGAGACGTTTGCCGTTTCTTTACAGTGCAACAAGTTTCATTTCACTTGTGTCTGTCTTTAATCACTGTGTCCAATCTTACCTCCCTCATGTGGGAAAAGTAAGGGACATTGAAAAATGGGAAGGAGATTTGTTGGCATAGAGGCTGCTGCAGTGGTCTTTGACTAGAGGGGGTTAAGTTCAAGTTCTGTATGGGATATTGTGTTTTTTTCTTTTCTTTTCTGGTTAAAAGACACTTTACTCATGCCTTGCCACTTTCATATGAGGAGTTTGAATAAGTACAAATTAATGAATTATCATGGAAATCTGACCGAATGCTAACCAGCACAAGTCAAAGTGACTTCATGTTACTGTAGACTTTACTATTCTCCTTTGGGAACTAGCTTTTTCCTGTCAGATTGTGTTTGTGTGAGATGAATATCATTAAGTCCTCTGTTTTTCAATTCATTTTTTTTTTTCTTCAATTGTAGAGATTTTTTAAATACCTGTGTATTGCATCCAAAGTGAGGAATGTGGTTAGCATCGCCAGAGATGCCCTTCGTGCTGGAAAGGCAAGTTTCCATTAAATCAAGTTTGCGTTACTGTAACAATTTCAAACTTTCTTTTATAACCACACAAACTTTTAATGTATATTTTGTTTCACTGCACACGTGACATGAATTAAACTCTGTCCTTTGTTCTCGTCATTCTTTCATTCTTTACTGTAAAATCAAACAACTTGTGATTCTTGAGAAGTTTGTGTATCCAGGCTTATGATTTTAATTCTCTGAAAACTTCTTAACATTCATCAAGGTTTATGATAACTGACTAATAGCATGGCACTTTTTCCCCTTTTTGCAGTGTGTCATTGTAGGTTTGCAGTCAACAGGAGAAGCAAGAACACTGGAGCAGCTTGAAGAGTCAGGGGGGGAACTAAGTGACTTTGTTTCAACTGCCAAGTAAGTTTCATACAGTCAAACCTGAATTAAGCAGCACCACATTAGGCGGTTGCCCTGTATTGAAGGGTCAGTTGTCATAGTCCAAAAATTTTTCCCCCTTAATTACCTCTATTAAGTGGTCATGTTCACCCTTCACTGAGTCCCAATGGTTGACAACAACCTGTTTGTGTATTCCTCCACCGCTATCAAACAGTCACCCAAGGCAGGACCACTTAAATAAAACTAGAACAATCTATAAAGTAAAATTTTATCCATATTTGTCTCCTAGAATCTGAGCTAGTTTTGAGCATTAAGTGGTCAATTATGGCAGAAAGTTTTGTTCTTAATTTTAGCTGCGATACATTCTTTTTAAATTACCGTAGCAATTATGGGAAATTTATTTTTCAAACAATTTGTGTTTTGTAGAGGTGTATTACAAGCCTTGATCGAAAAGCATTTCCCAGCAGCAGACAGAAGAAAAGTTGCTGACATGTTTGGCATTGAGAGTGATGCCAATGACAAATTTTTCAACCGATCTTCCTCCCCAGCACCTGGTCAACTCACCCCGCGAAAGAGAAAACAGAAAGGTTAATTTCTTATTAATAGTTCTTTCTTTCAGATTGGATTTTCCATTCATTCAGTAATTTTTTTGTAGGATGATGTGATAAATTTTAGAATCCTGCATACAGTGTAGTTTAATCTGCTGCCAATGCCTGTTTTGTGAAATTGCAGTATTTGAGACTTCCCAAGCTTCAGAGGTTATTACTGTTTTGGTAGCATGCAGTGACAAGCAATTTTTTTATCCACCTGGGCCCAGTTGTACAAAAGGCTGATTAGGGTGAACTTGGGGTTAAATTTTTATCTTCGTTTCTCTATTCCTTTGTTTAAAAGCCTTTTCCAGATGATCTTCCCTTTCTTTTTAGAGCAGCCAATCATCAATTGAAGACAAAATTTATTACTAAATTTTCTCTGATTTCACACTTACTCTGGGTTATCTTAACCTACTAGTAGGCTTTGAACAACTTTGTTCTACTGGAATGGATGATAAACCATTACATGTCACATACCCCTCTCCCTCACCCATCCACAAGTTCTCCTAATAGTCCTTTTTTTTTATGTCAGGGTTGAAAACTTGGAATCTTTCAATCCATTTTCCAGTAAACCAATGGTTGATATTTGTGAATCTGCCATAAGTTATGCTTATTTATTAATGATGTATTCCTTTCACTTTAATTTGTAGTTTCCAAGCCACCAAAGCCAAAGAGAACTAAAACTGCACTTGAGAGGCTTTGGAACTGTAAGTTTAAATTAATTCTTTTTTTCTTATTTCACCTGTGCCATTTCATCAGTCAGTGTGCTCTGATAAAAGTTAAAAAGTTGATTCAACCAACTGCCCCCATCTTAAGCTGTAGATAAAGGTCTCTCTGTTTTTTTGCATACAGACTTCTGAACAATCTCTCTACCCTTGATAGCATGAGACTTGCAGTCTAACAAGTTTTGTTACAAAAAGCACAGCCCAGAAACTTGAGCATGACCAGGGAATGTGATAAGTGTTGCTGAAACCTCTGTTCTGCTTAAAACTTGCCCCCCACTTTCTCCTGTTTTCATATTATTACTATACCAGTAATTATCCTTGCTCTTTTTTTGTTTATAATATATATATTTATAAAAAAATGGACTATTGGATAATGCAATTCAAGACTTTTTATTGGCTTAGCCTTTATGGTATTTGAGCTAATATACCATAATCTACAAATATGGTAAGCATATGCGTCAGCTTAAAATCAAAAGGGAGCTAAAAAATCCGGTTTCTTCTTACAAAATAATAATTTCTTGGGGGCGTTTATAATAAAACAAATATTCCACTAGTGCTTATTGGATATGAGATGATTACAGCCAACTCGGCGCTACGCACCTTGTTGGCTATCTATCATCTCATATCCAACACGCGTTCGGGGAATAATTGTTAAATACTTTTTCTAGTGTAGTGTGATAGATACTTGTATCTTGTAGATACATTTAGGTCGTACGATTAAAACATTTTTATTTTATTTTCATTTGCTTTTGGGTTGCTGTAAGTTTTTTTTTTTGTTATTTCAGTGAGTAGTGGTTCTGATAGTGAATCAGACGAAAGTCAGAAGAGTAACGGTGAGAATGAATTGTTCAATGCTCATAAAAACAATGCCAAGAATGATGGTGCAGCAGAGTCTGGCAACAGCTCAGTAGCAGAAGATGAGGATGACTTTAATCCATTTGGTGTGTCAGGATCAGATGATGAAGGTACAGTGTTCTATAAAAAATAAAGTCTGTACTCAACAGGGCTTGACATTCATTTTTCAACTTACTAGCCAAGTGGCTAGTGACTTCGTAGATGTTACGACAATTTCAGTTTGTGTACCAGCCAAACTGGCTGGTGGAAATTGAAAACCACTAGCCTAAACTGAATTTCTTCTCGTCTGTGGCTAGTTGGCTATTGTTAGTGTCAAGCCCCGACTCAAGCCAAGGGCTCACCCAGCTGCAACTTATCCTGGTTACCTTAGCATGAAGTGACGGAGTATCACCACTCCCCTGAAGGGGATGCCAGTCAATTCTAAGGTTACCCCCCCCCTTCAGCATTTCATCAGGCTTTCCTAGTGACCCACCTAACCGCAACTTCTCCTGGTTACCCTAGCGTGGAGTGATTAGGAGTAGCACCACTCTCCCCTGGAGGAGATGCTGGTCAATTCCAAGGTTACCCCCCCTCACCCCAGCATTTCATCAGGCTTCCCTGACAATTCACTAGTACCCATTTCTACTCCTGGGTGGAGAGGAGCACTGCAAGAGTAAAGTGTCTTACCCAAGAATACAACAAATGAGCCGGCCAGGTCTCGACTCAGGACCTCTCTACCCAGAGTCCACTCCACTGACCATTAGCCCACTGTGTCTTCCCACGGTATTCTATTATAATAGAGTAAATGTTACGAGCCCAAGAGAAACAGGCATACATGTATTGTGATAGTTTGTATGTGGCAAGTACTGAGGACTGCGGCTGGCAACAGTGATAAGGAGAAACAAAACTATATCGGTTTTGGTAACGAGATTTGTTTTAATTCTTATTTCACATTTTTTTTTTTTTTTTCTGTAGTCAACTAGTATGTCTAGCTGTGCTTGTTTCAGTTGTCCTGATTTACATCAGTACACAAAAAACATTGACAATTAAATTAGTTACAAACAGAGGCCTTAAAATGAACCTTTTGACCCCCTAAGAGTTACCAGCATCTAATTTCTCCTTACAATGTCACCCTTGAATCACGCATTAAGGTCGTGAGAAGAAAGGAAATGATCAACAACTAAATAAGCTTTTGATTACTTGACAAATTCTCCCTGGTAGCACTTTAGGAAATGTATAGAGAACAGTATGGAGAATATTCATACTGATGTTAGGAGTAAAGAGTTGATGAATCTAAAAATGTAAAGGGGGGGGGGCTGTAAAGAGATAATGGAGGATCAAATGTTTTGCTTTGGTTGTCAGAAGCCTGTGTTTAGTAAGCCTGTATAATGAAGCTATTAGTGCTATAGGATAAACTTTCTCTACTTATTTTTGTGCATTTTTAGACCCATGGCTGCATCGAAAGTCTCGGAAGTCTTCAAAAAACAAATCGCAGATTGGGAGTCCTGATCCATATTACAATGCTCTGGCTGCGGCTGGGCTTAAAGTTGGTGGCCTACCATGGAACACACCTGGACAGAGAACGAAACGGCCCAATGGGCTGGAAACCCAGCATTCGTGGAACCCACCTGGTAATTTGCTTTATATAGATGGCAAGATGAAGCAAATCCTCTGTTCTGATTGGCTACCCGAGCGGGCAAGATGGGCCAATATGCAGCCATCTTGACCTCACGCTTGGTCAATAACGGATATTTATTGTTAGAATGCGATTCAACTGAATGTCGTAAAAGGGTCATCTCAATGGCCAATCAAAACAGAGGAAAATAGAGCGCCTTTTGATAGAGTGTTGTGAAGTCAAAACGAAAGCAATCATAACAGCCAATCATAGGAAGGTTAGTATGACCAGGAGCCAATGAGAACTCAAATAAAAACAAGTAAATTGTCTTGAGTCCCTCGGCGCGAGATTCAGCGCGGCGAATATGTGGTCGCCATATTGGACTTGTGCAAGATCAGGGACTAGTGACAAAGCGAGGGGGGAGGGGTGAAAGGGAAAAATCGTAGTCGATAAGAATACAGACCACGCTAAACCACTGTCGATTTGTTAACTTTACATTGAGCAAGGCCATATACGAAGCTCATAGGTGTTAATCACTTTTTTTGCTCGTCTTCTCAGACCTGACATTATAACCACCCGCTTGCCTTTATCAGCAGTTGGACTGCAGTCCCTCGGGTCTCTCACTATAATTAGCAAAGGGAATGTGTTGATAAATTTGTAGTAACACATATATCGCCATCGACTGCGCCTTGTTTGTCAATTTTTGTTCTTAACGCATTTAGACGCCATCTTTCACAACAACTAAAAAAAACTATTTAAAAATACATTGTAGTAACACACTTGCTTTTATCTACAGGTGGACTGAAGACTTTACATCACTCTGCAAGTGCTCCAGCTTTTTCCAGTTTAACTTCAGCAAATAGCCCTGGACCACTTGCAAACTCTGCTGCAGACACGTGCAGAGCTATGAAAAGAGAGTTGCTCGATAAGCTTGATATCCTGTCCAGATGTCTTCCTCCAAACACTTTAGATGAACTAATAGATGACCTTGGAGGACCAGACAATGTTGCAGAGGTGAGAATATTAAAAGAATTATGCAAACAAATAAATTATAAATTATGCAAACAAATAACAAATGAATTCCATTTTGTGTGGGTCTGTTCGGTAATAAATCTCAGAAGACGTAAAAATGTCAATGACAAACTCGACTGCGCCTTGTTTGTCAATTTTTGTTCTTAACGCATTAAGACGCCATCTTTCACAACAACTAAAAAAAACTATTTAAAAATACATTTTAATTATCAATTAGGCGTCAATGAGATAGATATGTGACTCAGTTTTATTGTGCTTAGATGACCGGAAGAAAAGGTCGTGTGGTTAGTAATGAAGATGGAACTGTAAGCTACCAGTCGAGAAGCAAACAAGATGTGCCTTTGGAAATTATTAACGTTGTTGAAAAAAATAGATTTATGGATGGAGAGAAGGTATGATGATTTAGTTAGTGATTTACGTCTGTGATTAAAAATGTTTCCCGTCAACTTTTAAGAAACTTAATTTGATTTGAGGCGCGGGGAAAAAACGCGGGAAAAAAGCGCGGGGAAAAAGCGCGGGAAAAAAGCGATCAACCAGGTCGCGATTAGTTTTTTCATTTTGTTTCTTTACTAGCACAATCATAAATTGTAGTGAAGGAAAACCAATAGAATCCCGGAATACTTTCAACAGTCCATTAAAAGTTGCTATATACACATTAATGTTATATCTTAAAGTTTTTCTACATTTTTAGAGCATCGCGATTATCTCAGAAGCTGCCAGCTCAGGCATTTCTCTACAGGCAGACAGGAGAGCCAAGGTATTTAAAACTATCTATATGTCAACATATGAACAGTATAATAAGGAACATTATATACATTCTGTCGATACGTGTATTACTTTTTAATTCTACCTATCGTTTACAAACTTTCATGTGTTCTGTGTTTCAGAATCAACGAAGACGCGTTCACATTACTCTTGAACTACCTTGGAGTGCAGACAAAGCCATTCAACAGTTTGGTAAGAGATAATTCAACTGTTGCTAAAGGTAAAACGTAATGGTCGACCTTAATAAAATACTTGTTTTCATTTTCATGTTATAACAATAATATTAATTGGCAGGTCGATCTCACCGGTCCAATCAAGTTAGTGCTCCTGAGTACCTGTTTTTAATATCTGAACTGGCTGGAGAAAGGCGCTTTGCTTCCATTGTAGCCAAAAGACTAGAGAGTTTGGTAAGCTGTACAACGTGAATTCGAAAGCTTTGGAATTTTATTTATTGCCATGATAAAGTTCTACCAGCCCAGCTATACTGTGGGCCTTCTTTCTTAAAGTTTTGTGTATCTTTTTAACTTGAGAATAGTAATTTTTATCAGAATAACATCAGCCATTTCTTCCCGCATGATCCTTATTCACATTGTGCCAAGAAATCGTTTCCCTAGCGGCAGCTGAACTCTTTCTCTCCCAGGGGTGACCAATACCCTCGTAATTCGATCCAAATCTCCCTCGTTTTCGCTCTTCCATCAGCATCGCGCTGTTTATTATTTCGCTCTGTTTTAGCGAATGAACGCCTGAAACAGGCCAGATCAATAGGTAATTCTCCTCACAGTATAGCTATGTATACATAGTATAACTACTGCAAGCGATGAGGAGAACGAAAAACATCAATAAGGTAGCAATGTTTGTTTGGACCGTAGTTCCTCAGAGCTAAGGTGACAGAACATGCAGAGAATTTTGTAATGAAAGACATAAAAGGATTGATATCATGCCGAAAATTTACTTTCCAGGGCGCTCTTACTCACGGAGATCGACGAGCCACAGAGTCACAAGATTTAAGCAGATACAATATTGACAACAAGGTGAATAGTAATGTTTTCTGTTAATGCCTTGCTGTACTTGCCATTGTCAGTTGCTGCTCTACAAACCCTCGCGATTTTTCTTTTTATTATACATTGCTTTGGTTTTACTTCACCACCGATCGTGATTGGTCCAAAAATCTCTCGTCATCTTCTCAACCAATCACATACCGGACTAAATCCAATCACGCCTGTAACATTCCGTTTTCTAGCGCTTAAGGCAGTTTGTATGTCTTTACTCTTTTTCTATTGGCCCTCGTGATATTTTCCTTTCTTCTGATTGGCCATCGTGATCACTTTGGTTTTGGTTTTACGTCACTCAATTAAAACAAGCTCTAATGTTGCACAAAGGGGCCTGGTAAGTATTAGTTGACTTAGGATTCTTGTCTTATATCTAGTATGGCAGAGCTGCTTTGGAGGCTGTTTTGAAAGCCGTCACTGGCCAGAGTCCACCAATGATTCCACCACCACAAGAATACAAAGGAGAGTTTTTTCAAGGTATGTTTATATGTACTGATATTCATTCGCATCCTTGGGAAACCTTCGAAAGAGTCTCTAAAAACGCCTACTTTTTACTTCTTTTTACTTCTCTTCAATAATATTACGAACTTCTTTTATTATTTCTAAAAATCCTCCATCCCCACCCCATTCCCCCCCCTAGCAATGTGAACAGCAAAACGGGGGGGGAGTAAACAATTTAAGTCGAAGGGGGGTAATGGGGGAAATGTGACTACAGAACATTAAGTATCCTTTATCAGCGGTTTTTTTTCCTTTATTTTTGTTGTTGTTGTTGTTGTTTTTTTTTTCTTTTTTTTTAACTTGAAGGATCTTTCGCCAGCGAGACCACTGAAGCTCGGAACTGGACGGGGTTTTGATAGTGATGCAAATTTCTTCTTTGTTCCTCAGTCATGGCAAATGCTAACATCTTAGGTCATTTTTTTTCCTTTCTTTTTTCCAACAGATGTACGTACAGCACTGGTCGGTGTGGGCCTTGTAGTCAAAGATGACAAGAATAATGTGACCATTTTAGATAAAGGTTAAAATTTCCTTCTCAAGCTTTGTTAAAAAACATTAAGCATAAAAAGAACTGCTATCACATGATTGGCAAACAACAAAAAGATAGGAGTTTAAATCTTTACACCTCAATATTAGTATGCATATTTTCCACACTTTTCTTTGCACATTTCCTTTGGTATTGAGTATTTGTCAAACAGTCGAGAGCTTCTCTAGTTGGCGATCATTTCCTCTATTCTCCTCGCCTAAATGTTTGATTCGCACGTGTTATTGTGAGAAGAAATTAGACGGCAGCCTCTCTCGGGAGTTCCCGGGTTAATAGTTATATTTGTTTAGTCGTAATCTGCCGTAATTATTTATGTTGTTTTCTTTCATCAGATTTCACAAACATTTCAAGGTTTTTAAATCGAATTCTTGGTGTTGAAGTTGAGCTTCAAAACCTCCTGTTCGCATACTTCATGAAAACGCTGTCTGTGGTGGTACAACAAGCCAAGAGAAGTGGACGGTGGGATGAAGGAATTCTTGGTAAGAAAAAACGTTGGAATTTTTGAAAGCCTTGGTAAACTATCAACATTAGCTTGATAAAGGTAGATCAACGCATGTTCATGGGATTGTTTTTCGAGCGAGTTTATTAATCTAGATAATTAAATTGTGTGACTTCAGAATGGAAGCACCCAAGTGGTGACAGCACTTTGTGCCGTGCAGTTTTAGTCTAACTCATACTTGCGATTTCAAATCGAACTTTTCAAATTGATTTACGTAATATATTACATTTTATCAAAAACTGGATCATTGGATAATGCAATTCACGACTTTTTATTGGCTTAGGCATTATGGTATATCAGCCAATATACCATAATCTACAAATATGGTAAGCGTACGCGTCAGCTTAAAATCAAAAGGGAGCTAAAAAATCCAGTTTCTTCTTACAAAATAATAATTTCTTGGGGGCGTTTTTAATAAAACAATTACTCCACGAGATGAGCGGAATTAAAGACGAATTTTGATTGGTTCTTACTTGTAATCTGTTGGAGGACAGAAGCATTGATGAGGTCACCATTAACAGCATTTTGCATTTTTACCATGAAAAGCAACTATCGTAGATTCCATGTTGCCGTGAGTTTGTGCTGTAACAGATCACATTTGATGACGTCAGAATGTGGTTAGAACGTCAGTGACACACTTGGCTCTGCCTGGTTTGCCACTTTTTTGTTCTTACCACATTTTGATGTCATTTGTGTTCTATTACTGAACACACTTACAGCAACATGAAATTTATTTGTGAACTAGAAAATTGGTTTTGATGTTGCGGTTGTTGTTTTGTTTTGTTTTTGTTTTTTTTTGTTTTTGTTTTTGTTTTTCAGACCTCGGTGCTCATGGTGAAGCCGTGACTAACTTGAGTGTACAAACATTTGCTGGTAATTCAACCATGGGTACAGCTACCACTGAGTTACACACAGTAAGCTGCCTCGTTCTTATATTACATTACCTTGTATTTTATACACGAATTGGGATATGCGCTAACTCAGTGTGCAGTACGCTGGATCCCAGTTTAAGCCTGGGTTCGAGCGAAGCTGGGGCCGGTTTCTCTAAAGACCCGGTAATTCATCGAGCCCGTAACTATGTTTTGGAATCAAAATTTTGACGAAAAGAGAGCTTCAGATTCTGGCACCCCAACCAATCCAGTTTCTTTCTTTTAGCTAACAGTTTATGAGCACAATGAATGAGTCAATAAGTTTTCTTCTCCTTTGCATATTCAGATAAGCGTGGAGCGGGGAATGTCTTGGGAAGAATCATTTGAACTACGGCGGTCTCAGTTACACCAAGATGATGGTTATTATCTTTCTAACCAGGTGAGTTCTTTGGTAACATGTCACCAAATCAGTTTTGACTTTGAAAGAAGAGCGTTTTTCGATTGATGGTCGCAAAACCAAAACAAAAGTAATTGTTGCGGCCAATCAGAAGAAAAGGAAAATATCCTCAAGAGCCATTGAGAACTCAAAGGAAAACAAACCAAACTGCATAAAGCGTGGCAAAACGCAAGCGACTAAGTCTCGATTGGTTTGAGTTTTGTATCTGATTGGTCGAGAGAGTGGTGCAAGTTTTCTGGACCAATCACAGAGCAAAGTAAAGCAAAAGAAATGCAATCTTGGATTGCTTTCTTTACTCACTTGACAATTGTTCTAAATGCTGCTGCATGCAAAGCGAAAAGAATCATGTAAGATACTACGGGTCGAGAATGCCGCTGAGATTGTACCCAGACAGATGCCATTTAGTCGCAGGGAAACACATCAAACTGAAAAAGGTAAATCGTTGTAGAACTTATTTCAGTTGAGTCTCGTAAAACGAAGGCCGAAGTTATTCCGGTGGACAATCAGAGGTGCAGTTAATATCAGATGAAGCCGGGGGCTCCTTGTAAATACAAGCAAACTGCTTGAAGCGCGGGAAAAGACGAGTTACTAACGCGCCACTGTGAACACACCATGTTGTGAAAGTGATAGTAACTTAAGGTAACTAACACTGTAGAATGTATTTATCTATTTATTTATTTATTGATTGATTTATATATTTTGAACCAGGTGCGAAATCACAAGAAAATTGCAATCTTGGTCATGTGCCAGTCTCGAAGCAAGAAGAAGGATGTGATAAATGTATACAGACCAAACACTGGCCTACAAACAAAACAAGACACACTGGAAGACGTCAAGAAAAAGTACAAAAAGGTAATCAGTCTCGTGTTCTCAGAGTAGTTACTCCATTGAAAATTTGTTTATGTCATGTCACCGCTTTAGTTAAAGAATGAAACTCTCAGTTATGTTTACACAGCCTTGTTCAGGCGCAGTTTACACAGTTAAACGTTGAGTGGTGTATAAGCTGTCATAAGAAAAAGTTGTGATCATTCATTTTCGTGGTGAATACTCCATTGATAAAGTATTATTATATGTCTCAGTGAGTACATGCGTCCTGATTTGTCGATATAGCGGGCCGTATCTCACTGTAAGTGTGTTTAAATTGAAATCTTTTCCCTCTACATGAACCCAGAAGCGTAATAAATATTTATCTAACCAGGTTTTCTCGGCCCACACTATGAGTTACGGGTCCTCGCTTTTACTCCGCTCGGATTTATGGCCCCCGCGTTTCGCGCTTTGGCTATAAATTGCAGCGGAAAAACTCAGTTCCCACGTACGCACCTCGAACTCGGTTAATAAGAGGTATTTATTGTTTGCCTCTAGACAAAGTCACTTTCAATGTGTACCTCGACGTTCGACTGCGGTGTGCGAGTCTTCTTTATTTAGTAGTATGGAAGAATGCCAATGGATCGTAGCGATCCACATCAGAAGTGATTTCTTCCTGAGATGAACGATGATAATTCATATACTAATGGATTATCTTCCCTTTTTGTTTTTTTGTTTTTGTTTTTGTTTTTGTTTTTTTGTTGTTGTTTTTTTAAGGTACCAGACTTTGAAGCTCAGAGTAGTTGGGTAGACCAGTACGAATCAGCTCTCAATCAGTGCAATCACGCTTATTGGTGAGTGTAAAGAAGTTTGTTAGAGTCTTTGCCAAGGGCCCATGTTCGAAATGGGCGGGTGCGACGGAGGGCTAACCGCTCGAAACGTCAGCCTTGAAACTCTTTACGGTGGCCAATTTACACAATCAACTCAGTTGATAAAACCAAAATTACCTAAATAAAGAAACTGGGTCGAGTGCGTCTAATTGAGGTTGAATAGTTATGATCTGAGGGAGCAAAATGATTGGTCCAGGTACATTTTCCCTTATAACACTCACTAATTGCTTTGTTTGGCCAAGACATCACCAAAAGTGTCCTTTTTTCAACTGTCTCAACAGTTGAACGGCCAGCGTCTTTTTGGAGACCGCTGAAAATATTACATCCAGTGGCTTCTGACCCCATTAAACACCTTCTTAGTCCATCGATGGCAAATTTCCCTCAGACGAGAATTTTTTTTTTTTTCCAGGAAAGGTAACTGTAAACGAATGACTCTTGGTCTGAGTTGTGAGGTTGGTCGGCGGCAGCGCACGTACCACATCCTGAGCGGATCAGTACTGAGTGTTTGGAGTAAAGTGGAGAGCATCTTAGCTGGTCAGTCTGGTGCAAACTCAAAAATACAAATTATTCGCTGCAGAAAGAGCGATGGATCTAGAATAGTTGGTAAGTCTAAATAAAATATTATTTCGCTCTCTTCTTGGTTGTTTAGCCGAAAAGAAAGCTCAATGTCAGGAGATACCGATGTCTTTGAGCGGCGTTGGGTGAGAACACACTCGGGTATTGAGTGGAGTCAACAAGGCCTTAGTTGTTCATTCCGATCATTTGTCCAGATCACTGAGTGATCGGCGCATACCCGTCGAATTTGTTTGGACCATAGTAATTTGTGAGGTAAAGAATTCTATCTTCAGATTTCCCGTTGAAGAATTGAACGTAAAAAAAAACACCCTCTATGCTAAATTAAAATAATGTAACAAGCCTTCCTTCGGTGAAATGAAGAAAGATTTTTCTGACCCGGCAACTCCCATGATCTGATCAGTGATTCTCCCTCCACGCTGAATTAGTACCGAGTTCCGGGGAACTAGATAATATTTTCAGGAAAGCTAATGTATTGGAATTTTGAGAAGGTGCTTGGCAGTCAGTTCTGCAAGTTGAGAGGTTACTTTTGGAAATTTTGTTCGGTGAGGTTTAGGGATTGAACTTGTTTTTTTTTTTCCTCGTAGGTTGCCTTATTCCAAGTAACTGTGTTCCTGCATTAACTAGAGCGCTTACTCCCGATACTCAGCAGGAACCAATTTTAATCATGTAAAGAAAAACCTGACCTGCTCCAAGCGTCCAGTTCAGAAAACAACGGCGCGTTTGAACCAATTGAGTGACGCAAAATGAAGCCAGCAAAAAGAGGAGTGGACTGGGTACTATTTTGTGCTGCTTTTCATCGCGGCTTTGTATACCAACTGTTCGCTTGGAACAGGCGAAGAAAAGCTTCTATTTTGGCATACGGAATCAAAAATTTGTGTTGTAAAAAGTGTACAGATAAATTTAAGATTAAATACGTTAAATTATTTAAGCGGTATTTTAAACCGCATGTGCTTACAAGCGAAATTGTTAAAAATCACGATAAGCAAACGCTTATCTGTTTGTTCTTCAGGTAAGAGTGATCGTCATTTCAAACCTCTGGAGCAATTTTTCAATTGAGTGTCGATCCCAATCCGGGACTGCTTTGATTTTACTTTTGCTGCGTGATTGGTACATCTAGAAATCGTGCCTTTCTCTCGACCAATCAGATGTAAGACTGAAACAGCTACTTAGTATAGCCTCGTTTCCGGCGCTTTAACCAGAAATGAATTTTCTTTAAATTCTGGATTGGTTCTTCGTGGTATAATTACTTTGCTTTGGTTTTACGACACTCAGTTAAAAGGCTCTCACTAAAAGCATGAATTAATTAGATAGAACTGTGTATCTGAGTTTGCGAAGGAAGCTTCTTGATAGAGGCAATTTTCTATGGACATTCTGCACCTTGACTTCTTTATTTGTAAATTATTTGGTAGGTTATGTTCCTCGTACAAGACGCACAGAAAGATTTTGCCCAATATACATATTTGCTTTCGCGTAAAAGGGGGGGTACCCATCAGTATTTGTTATTTGGTGGACAGGTTTTTTACTTTAATTTTTCGCCTTATTAGCCCAGTGCGTAATGCTGGTCTTTACCGTAGGTATTATAAAAATGATGAGTGCGAACGAGGCCACTCTTCTCAGAATTTTGATCACTGACGCATAATCGCAACTTTGAAAACATGTCTTTACCCAATTTGTACCATTAGGATCAGAGTTTCGGCCATCCTTCCTCATTCTTCCCTTGTGATTGTTTTATTAGCCTGCAGAACAGGTATCATTTTATGTTTTTCAGGCGAGTGCGAGTCGGGCGCGAGGAAAATGCGAGGAGTTAGTCACTTGCAAATACAGGAGCATGTTTTCGCGCTCGCGTCGTGTTTGCCTCCGCTCGCTTGAAAAAAGGAAATAGCGATGCCTGTTACGTATGCTAGTTTTTTTGTCTTCTTTTCTGATGATTTTGTCCTACCGAGCTTTTCAATAACATGTGAACTGTGGAGTTTAGGGATCCATCATTGAAAATGCGTTTTACGTGAAGACATGATCAAGCTCCTTAGTTGTGATTGAAGGATTTCCATCCATTTTGTTCCTCTTTGTTTTTCGATGCCCCTTATGCTGAAGATTGACGGCAACATGAACTTTGCAGTCCGCATGTTATTAAAAGGCGCGGTAATGTACTCTGTCAATAAAAATTGCTACCGTTTTATGGTTAGTGATGCCATCAGATGGCATATTTACAGCTTTGGCTCGTTGCTTTAGAAGTGAGTAAGTCAAGGTGAAGAGATGTTTGTCTCATTCAGCGTATTACTTTAATTTACAGACGTGTATTTCCTTTTATTAAGAAAATGAAGCATTTGATGTTAGGAAAGTAAGAAGTACCGCTGATTACGGTACTTAATTAGACACCGAGGAACCAGCTCTGTGCTATAAACGCAGTTTTTAATACAATTGCAATGACACGTTTTATTGCATCTTAGATGTATCAACCCTGTCACTCCCTAGATCTCAATTTCAATTCTCAACACGGTACTTTCCTCATAATTTAAGTTCTGAGAATTAGGTGCAAAATCCAACAGCATCCGCTAATTGATATGCATCTATTTTCTGAACACCTTTCTGCTCGAAACTGTGTAAATTATGGTAAGACAAACTCCATTTTCAACGATCTGTACGTTGAGGTTCAGTTGCTCTAACCCCTCTAACTCCATCAGACTGACCATGGTTCTTTACCGATTCCTATGTTTACAAGCAATTGAGACGGAGAATTTAAAAAAAAAAAAAACAAACAAACAAGGTATTGAAACTATCTTAGGGAAAGTTATTTGAAAAAATTACTCTTACGTTTTGAGAGACCGTTGCAATTTGAAGGATTATAGCCCGTAGAACATACTAATGAGGAAATGGAACGCTCTTCACAACCCGTGATATTTCGGTGATACATTGTAGAAAGCTCCCGTTGTATCATCATCGTAAGGTACTGATCCTTCTAGGACGTATCAGTAAGGCTGAGCCATCAGGAGGGCGTTTGTTAAGTAATTCTTAGGTTGTTCTCGGCGTCAAGTTGGCAAACGGAGCGCATTAAAAGCATATGTAGAGCAAAGAAGGATTTCAATGGGTCCCAAAAAAATAATTTACAGAAATGGGAGTCGGCCAGTGTACTAAAAGCTTTTTGTTTGAAATGTTTCAGGGAGTTAATGATCAAAAGTTAATGATATTCTTTACTCCAGTTGCATAACTCTGCTAATCAGTCTTCTCGACTTTTCAAACCCAAATGAGAGTGTTTATTCTTAGTTTGTTCTGAAATCTGTTGTTCGCAAAAACGAATAAAACTCGTTTTAGGACACTATAGTGTAGCTTAAATGAAGAAATAACCCGTATTGTCTCTGTCGTGAGCTCTGAGGTGACCGAACATTTGCTGTCTGCTTTGCAATGAGCTCGGCTGTGGTGTTGAACGCCGAGGGTTATTTAGATACCTCTTCAAATGAATCGTTCAACAAAGATGAATTCAAAGGGATCAAAGATATGTAAGTTAAGATAACTTTAGTGAAGGTCGCATGCAGCAGGGACTGTATTTAACGCTGTATTTTAAATCTTGAAACCGCAACCAAACGACAAAGTTTAAAAGCAATTCAATCATTTATCTGTCGAGATGATACCCAGTGAGTAATAGTTATGAGAGTGATTGAACGGAGTACGGGCTGTTGTTCATTGGCTGAAACAAGTGGTGACCACAGAGCGATCCATGATATGATTGGTGCACAGGACCCCCATAGAAGTGGTGTGACTGCTACACGGGCAGAAGAACATTTTTCTGCTGCTCTTCGTGGGGAAATTCTTGGAGCACCGTCAGAATACCCTGCAAATTTTCACCTTTCTATTCTTTCAAGTCAAGGACACAAACAAACAGACTAAACGAACAACAAAAGACTAAGTCTAGGGTCTTGATGACCAAACATAATTGAAACCCTTTCAATGAAGTGATGCACAACTACATCCAAAGTTATCAAAACAGCCAATCATGATAATGGATATATTGTAAGGAACCAGTGAGATCTAAAATTTGAAGTAAGGATTAGATTTTCTAGACGGATGGTTACCTAAGTCAAGAGATAAAACTGAACTATGAAAGATACTTTATTTGATAAGGCATGGTGTAAGGTGGCAGCAAAGTGCTGATGTGGACCTGCTATATAACAGTATAAAAATACAAAAGTACATAACAAGTAAATATCACAATTTTGAGATAGTATAACAAGAATAATAATGAAAAGTAAAAGAAAGAAATTTCAAATATCATTTTAAGCTAACATCAAAAATGTTTGAAGGCATTTGTGTTATTGTTGGTGGCTGTTGAATTACTTTAGTACCAAATGAAATTTGGTCAACAGTCTCTGATTAGTGAAAGATGGATGGTTTGCTTCTGATTTTAACTAGGTCAGTAGACAGTTTCAAACAATGCTAACAGGATGAACAAATAAAGTGTGGGGTACTTTAGATTTAGAATGAAGAAGTTCAAACTTTAGGTTGTCCCTTAGGTTGTAGTTTGTTCTGTGTTTAGAGAATAGTTTTATGATACTAGTGGGTGTTTATTAAGAGTAGGCTAGGTAAGCAAAACAAGTCATTCTTTTCTTATACAAATAAAATAAAGAGTTCCATTTGACCTTGTTGAGCACTTTGTGCTTAGGTATAGATTGATTTAAGTTATGGATCAATCTTGCAGCCCTGATATACAAATCTCCTTCAGTTTGGAATAGAGGAGTAGAGGAAGACCTCAGGACAGCTTTTGCCAAAAATTGCAAACCAAACTAAAAGTATTACTATATATATAGGACTTACCTTATACCACCCAGCATGTGCTTTTATTTTAAACTATTAAAAAATCCATGTACAAGCCCTATACTCATGACACGAACAGGGCTTGGAAAAGCTTTATGGTCCAGTGGTTTCCAATTCCACCATACTTATCCAAGCCTGACAAGGTGGGAGCTAGAAAAATTCAAGGAAAATTATGGGCTCAAGGATATGGAGGTCTACCTTGCTGTGCTTAATCCAATCTTGACAACTTCATGCCAAATATTTTTTTTTCCCTTCCCCACCGATTTAACAAGCACATATTAAACAGTTTTACATGAAAAATGAAACATGTATTTTTAGTAACATTTTATTAAGTGATATACTTGTGTTATTATTGCACCTTTTTTGTAGCTTTGGTGGAATAACAATCAACACAGATGGAGAGAAGTGTGAAAGTAATGAAGACTTTGAAAGAAAACTTGCTTGTAAGTCCATTATTTCTGCGCAGTTGTTTTAGTTCAGTAAATTAATTATTGATTTCAATTGGTTTTTAACTTATATTTAAGCATCACTGGAAAAATTCAAGCAGTCTGGTATTAGGGGAGTTTGGCTTAGAATATCAATAGAGAATTCCACTTTTATTCCTATTGCTGTTAAGGTAAGTTAAATATCTATATAATATTACATACATCTTGTTAAATGTTTTGTTGTGTAGTATCACTGAGTAAGGTAACTGCATGCAAAGCTTGTAAACTTGAATAAATGGGTGGAGGGGTGGAGGAGAGGTAACCTGCAGACGATCATTGAGGCATCCAGAAGTACCAGCAGTACTTCTAGCCTCTCCATTCTTCAGAAACTGGGATTGGCTTTGGCAGAATGAGCCAGGTGGCTCAGGTTTGTAATTTACCAACCAGTTTACCTTTATATTAACAAAGATTTAGTAATACATAGACAGGTAAAAAGAAAGGATATAAAATCCCGACGTTTGGGCGACTTCATGACACCATTATCAAGGGTACAAATGAAAATAAAATTAACAAATGCGAGTTCAAGAGTTACAACTAATTTGCATAGGGGAGGTAGCTACACAAATACTTTTGATGTAAAGCATCTCCTTCACAAGACAACGAGATGCTTTACATCAAACAATTAACACCGAGTTTGAACGTGCAAACGGATTCTATCCGTGCTAAAGTATTTGTGTAGCTACCTCCCCTATGCAAATTAGTTGTAACTCTTGAACTCGCATTTGTTAATTTTATTTTCATTTGTACCCTTGATAATGGCGTCATGAAGTCTCCGAAACGTCGGGATTTTATGTCGTTCAGTTTACCTTTGAGCCACCAATTCGAAATGCCTGTGTCTGAGCAAGTTAGGAAAAATTTTCAACCTGACCTACTGCGAACCAACTTAATAGCTTTTAGTGTGACATTATTTCAAACATAATAAGTTTTTTGTTTGTTTGTTTTCTTTTTTTACAAGCATGGTTTCCAATTCCACCATACTTATCCAACTTACATTGTTTTAACTCACTGGCTTCCCAAAGATGAACCAAACACTCTACCAAGCTTTGCCACAAGCTATCTTGGTATGTTTTATTCTCTTTTTTGTTTATTCATAGCACAAATTGTGTTATTTTTCCATGAGAAGTTTGTCAGTGATGTTCTAATCTAGACCTTGCTGAGACAACGAGAAAGACCAAACTCAGTCAGTGGGAAATTTTTGCCCTCAATTTTGCAAAAAGCACATCACTCTGTAATATTACTGGTATCTAAGGGTCATGCAAAAGAGAGACAATCTACTTTTCTTGCTACAGTCTGATCAATACAATAATTTTCCAACACCTTAACTCTAAGGACAATGTTGGTGCCAGTCAGGAAGGTGTCTGGTTAATACTTTCACCTCTAGGAGTGATCAATGAATTAATTCTCCATAAAATTTTTTAATATATTTTCAACCAGGTAGGTAACATGAGGTAAGAAAATTATCAACCAAGGGATATTGCCTTGATCCAACACTAAATTCTCAGTACTGGCCACTGAAACAATATGTGGTCATTTGTTGGGAGAATGACCTCTCAAATCTTGGAACTGAAAGGGTGAAAGGAGAGCTGACTCAAATATTTATCGTGACATGTTTAAAATTGCTCTGAAATGGCAGACAGTCTATATTATACTTCAAAGTTAAATGTTTTGTTGTCAATCAGACACAGTGGATGGGTGAAAGGTTATTACACTGCCGCCTCCTGATTAGCTCAATGGTTAGAGCACTGGACTGTTGTGCGGGAGGTCAAGGTCAATGGTTCGAGCCCCAGCCAGACCAACACTCAAGGTCTTAAAATAACTGAGGAGAATGCGCTACCTTTCTCGGATAAGGACAAATAAACCGTAGGCCCCGTCTCCTGCATTTATTAATTAGTTAATTTGGTTAGGCAGGGGACGTTAAAGAACCCACTCACGAGATTACTGTGATGTGGTCTGGCCCGTTTACTGGGAATTGGGGGGGAGGGGGCATCTTCAAATAAGTTTCCTTCGAATGTTTGTAAACTGCTGATGCAGTCCGGCCAAAGTCCCCC